TTTACGAGCCAAAGGAAAGAAAATGGGAAACGGACGAGGTTCTGAATTCAAAGGAGTGGGACAATGCCTGTGTGGTTGATGATGTTTTGTACTATCACGATTGTAGTAAGAACAAGTTGAGATGGTATGACTCAAAGCAGAGGTGTTGGGGAGTGGTGAAAGGCTTGGAAGAGTTGTTGGATGAGATGCTTAATTTTGGGTATATACTACATACTGTGAGTTACGGTGGGAAGCTGGTTTTGTTGTGTCCTGAAGGAGAATTCATGCAAGTGAGAAGGGAGATTTATCGTGCTGAGATTTTTCTGGAAAGATGCAAAGGAGGTCAGATTTGGGGTATAGTTGATCACTTGTGTCATCTTTTCACTGCTGCTGGCAATTTTCACATTATGGATGCTTTTGATGTTGTGGTTTGATTCAGGAACTCTCTATTTCCTTTCATTTATAAACTACTTGTTGTGATTTGGGGTTTGAAAGTGCATTTGTTTGAGAGTTGATGAGAGTCTATGTCTTGAATTCAGATGTTTGTCTTTTGTGTGGCAGTGGAAGACAACTGATCTTTACGCAGAGAAGATGTAGAGGTAGTGAATACTTAATATGTTGTTCGCTTAGTAGTAGCTATATTACCATTTACGTTGCTCATGGAACAAAATGGTGACTGGATGTTTTTAACAAATATCTAAATAATATTCATATAATTCAAAACTAAAATTTGATCCATGCTCTTACAACAGACTTATTTTATAAATTTAAGTTAATTTAAAATACATTATTTCTATATTTTTATTATGTATAGGAAATTTAAGATATATGTATTAGTAAATTTCGAAATTTGGAATGTCTTGAAATTTTTATTTTAGTGAAAAAAATATTATTATATAATTTATATTAAATTCTTATAAGAAAAATATAAAAAAATATCATTTAATTTAATATTAAACTTAACTCATTTTTTAAATTTATGTCATGAATAAAAATTAAACCAAACAATTGTACATATGAATTATTTTTAATATAAATTAGGATATATAATTTATTTTTCGTTAGTGTGGATAAACAGTTATTTGTCAAATAATTTTGATCAATCTCTAAGTATAAAAATTATTTGATAATCTATACACTATTTTAATAAAGTATTAGATTTTTGATCCAAACTTCCAAAGCACGAAATTATTTTTTGTTGATAAAATTATTAACCCGATTGTTAAATCACAATAGAAATGAAATATGTATTTGTTAGACTCATTTATACTTCTTGCAATCAAAACTTATAACTAACTTCTTGCCCAATTATGTGGAGACTACCACCACCAGCAGCTATCCTAAATTTTTGTAAAAGTTGATCACGCGTCACTTGATTATTACGCCATTTTTTTGAAGATTTCCAGCTTTCATTTTGTAGAGCATACCAATACTTCAGAAGCGCTTGAGCTCTCCCCAGAATCCCATAAAGATTGAGAAAGCCCTGCTGCTGGCATTTGTTGCAAAACTGGCATAGGAGGCACTTCAAGAGTTTCAAGGCTTCCTTCCATCATCTCCACAACTACGTTCATCGGTGGACGGTTCGATGGAGAAGACTGGATACACCACAACCCCACAATTTTCATCTTCTTTGCTATCTCTTCTTCTTCACTTCTGATTCCATTCTCGGTAGTACCTCCATTGTCTCCCTTCTCAAGATCTTGGTATATCCATTCAGGAAAATACATTGAGCTTGCATTCGATGCAGAGATTCGATCAGCTATTTCTTTCTTCCTTGCACCTATCATTTCGAGTAGTAACATCCCATAGCTATACACATCTGACTTGTGAGACACGCTCCCATACAACGGAGAGAACATCTCTGGCGCAATATACCCTATTGTCCCTCTCATGTCTAGCAGCGACATTACACTCTCTTTCTTCTCACAGAGTTTAGCAAGTCCAAAATCAGAAACTTTGGGGAGAAGATTCTCATCCAACAGCACGTTCTGAGGTTTAATGTCGAAATGCACAATCCTTGTTTTGCAGCCAAAGTGCAAATACTCTAACCCCCGAGCAACTCCTAGTGCAACCTCATACAATGCCGCGAAGTCCAAATTCATCGAGGTGTTGTTTGATATAAACTTATCAAGCGACCCGTTCCTTAGAAATTCATATATGATTGCTCTTTTCGAACCTTCGGAGCAGAATCCAAGTAAGGAAACAATGTTGACATGAGATGTTTGGCTCATGCTGGCAACTTCATTGATGAAGTCATCACCATTATTGTCCTTTGAATCTTTCAAGACCTTCACCGCAACCATACGGCCATCACAAAGGGTTCCTCTATAAACAACTCCAAATCCTCCTTTCCCAACTATTTCTGCAAATGACTTTGTGATTTTCTTCACTTGCGCATAAGTATAGTGTTTGAGTGGAATAAGAGCCTTTAACTTCTCTCGTCTCCTCTCGTCTGATGATTTTCTCTTGCGAAAAATTTGGACTCGGAAACAAGGGCATAATAGTACCACCAGCGCAATAATACCTGTTAGTGAACACAAACCTATAATAACATAGTAAACATTTGGTTAGTAACTTTTTCGTAATTTAGGAAGATCAAAAACAGTTATAAATATCTATCTGAGCAGGGAACTAACCTACGATAATAATGATACCAATAACTGCAGAACCATAAAATAAAATTTGTCAGCATAGAACAAAACTTTATTTTGAAATGAAAAAAAAGAGCAATTAGAGAAGAACAATGGTTTAGAGGGAGGATAAAAAGTCATTCAAAGAAGGTTACGCACCTATGCCCATTGTAGGATTAGCTCCTGCATAAATTAAATGGCATACAAAAGAAAGTCAGTTTGAGCTGGACGCTGGAGACAGAGCTCTGAATACTAAAACGAAAAGAAAAAAAAACAAAAATTTGAAAATTAAAGAAAACTTACCTATCTGGCATGTACTATTAATATGCGGCCCATCTTCGCAATAACAGACGAAAACGCTTGAGGTATGATTATATCCACAAGCACCCTCAGAGTCTATGCACCTCTCACAATTCGGGGCAACATAAAGATCGAAACCCTCTTCAATAGCCTTCTTTAGATTATCCTGACTCGGACTTTTCTGCAGTGTCTCTAAAGCTGATCCAGATGCAGGAATACTGACGTTTCTTTTACAAAAATCCGCGAAACTGTTTAAAAGACCTCTAATCTCGCTAAGTGAAGGGGACGTGAGGTTTTTTGTCACATAGTAATTTCTTATGCCATTCACAGAATCAAACTCTCCGATATAACTACTATGAGACCTAACTGGTGAGAAGTTTGAACAGTCATAATAAATTGTTACGAGCTCGGTGTTACCGGTGAAGGAAACAACGTTTTCATTGAACTGGGCATTCAGTGGGTTTCTGGGATAAAGGTCATCAATGTAATCTGATCTCCTGAGTTTTATCATGTAATAGGAACTATATATGATCCTGAACTTGACAGTAGAAATCTTGACCTCTGCAAATCCTCCGCTACAGTTGAGCTTGAAATCTGGGTGGCCACATGCTTTTCTATCAGGTATCCAAAAAGGATATTGGAGATCGGCGTGATCGCCACAGCTAAACCTACTACGGCAGAGTGTGTACAACTCATCATCTGAGAAGAAAAATAAGATGTGATCAAAAAGAGCATCCATATGATTATTTAGGACAAAAATGTTTTTATGAGACCGAGATTGATTAGGTCAGGAAAATGATGATTGATTAGGTTGAACATGTTTTAATGAATATTACTGGTAACTTACCACTTGATGCACAAGAAAGATGGCAGAATAAGGAGAAGAAGGAAAATAATATCAGGCAAAAACTGAAGGGATAGTTCATTGTTGAAAAGTGTGTATTATTCTGTTTTTTTTGGTTGCTGTTAAGAGGAGCAGAATAAGTGGTTTAAACCAGAGAAAAACCAAATACGCAAGAGAAGAGCTTTTCTATTTGCATGGCTTTACTAATTGACTCTGGTAGAGTCGTCTCGGTATATCTTTTTCTAAACAAAAACAAAAAAACAAAATTGAGACAGAAGAACGACTTCATTTGGTGCTAAATCAATTTTCCGCTGAACAGTGACTAATATGACTTATACGTTGCTGACAAAGAAAAATAACAAAAGATTGGTATTGCTCATTCTAAACTTCATTTTCTAGGCAAATCATGAAATTAAATTTTTAATGGGAGTAACAGGGACTTGTTCACAAAACTACGAAGATAACTGGTTGGACTGTAGGTATAAAAAATTTACCGTTCAGTTTTTAATGTAGATATACCTAGTTTAGAAATGTAAGGTTCATACATCCATTTTTTTATTAGATGAAAAAATATATATAAACAAAGATATTCCTACAGCAAATATACAACAAAATTTTTTTATTTTAGAATATAAGATTACAACATTTTTTTAATTTTTTTTTTAGCTTTAGTTCTAAAAACTAGTTTAAACATAATTGGTGATTTATATAATTATATATAGAAATTAAATCTAAAATCACTAGTGTCCAACCAATCACTTTCAGTATCATCTGTGTTATCTCATATAATTGTTTACTTTTACAACCAAAAACTTTTCAGTAATATTATAAACCATATCTTCTGTCTCCCGACGTACACGTGTCACATATTCATTGCTGTTTCTATTCTCTCATGAAATAAGAGCAAATGGAAAACATTTATGAAACTCTTGACTATCGATTCAATGCTAAAGGTGTACACAGAACCAGGATAATATGTGAACCGTAGGCCGTAGCTTGTTCGGAGGTTAGTTGGTATCAATTTAATAGTTACTTCAACCTGTAAAACATAAGTATATTACAGTCTTCTTATGGCGATCTTAAATGATAAATTGTTGGATTAATCACATGAATGATCTGAACTTAGCAATTTAAGATAACAAAACTCCACAAACTAATTTAACATAAGTTTTCAATTTTATTTATCTAAGTGTAGACATTATATGACATTTCTTGGATAAATGTATTAGCTGCTTTCGCGCGTTCTTAAATTTCAAAGAGGCTACTGATATAGAAATTCTGCTTAAACCAAACTATCTGAAAGCGTTAGAGATTCCTGAAGAGTTGCCGTGGAAATTTGCTGCAAGACAGGTCTCGGAGGCACTTCAATAGCTTCAAGGCTTCCTTCCATCATCTCTACAACTCTGTTCATCGGTGGGCGATCCAATGGGGAGGACTGAATACACCACAAACCCACCAATGTCATCTTCTTGGCTATCTCCTCTTCCTCATTGCTGATTCCGTTCTCGGTAAGACATCTGGTGGGCTTTCCTAATTCAAGATCCCTATATACCCATTCAGGAAAGTATATTGAACTTGTGTTAGAAGCAGAGTCTTCATGAGCACTTTCTTTATTCCTTGCGCCAATCATCTCAAGAACCAACATTCCAAAGCTATAAACATCTGACTTGTGAGACACGCTACCATAAACTCTTGAAATCATTTCTGGTGCAATGTACCCTATTGTGCCTCTTGTGTCCAGCAATGACAAAGCACTCTCTTTCTTCTCACAGAGCTTAGCAAGGCCAAAATCCGAAACCTTGGGGCAAAAGTTTTCATCTAAGAGCACATTTTGTGGTTTGATGTCGAAATGTACAATCCTTGTTTTGCAGCCATGATGCAAATACTCCAGGCCACGAGCAACTCCTAGCGCAATCTGATACAACGTAGTCCTATCCAAATTCACCGAGGACTTGCCTGAGATGAATTTATCAAGAGATCCATTTCCCAAGAATTCATATATAATGGCTCTTTTGGAACCTTCGGAGCAGAAACCAAGCAAGGTAACAATGTTGTGATGAGAAGTTTGGCTCATGCTTGCAACTTCATTGGTGAAATCTTCACCATTACCCTTTGAGTCTTTCAAGACTTTCACCGCAACCATACGACCATCAGAGAGGGTTCCTCTATAAACAATTCCAAATCCGCCTCTCCCAACCACTTCTGCAAATGACTTTGTAATTCTTTTCACCTGTGCGTAAGTATAGTGCTTGAGTGGAATGAGGGACATCAGATTATGTTGTCTCAGACGTAATTCTCTCTTCCGGAGAAAATGAAGAGAGAGTGATAATAAGATCACGAACAGAACAACGCCTGCTACCGAACCCGAAACTAGAAAAACAGAGAAAGTTTTGAATTAAATATTTTCATGAGTGAATTGTGTAGAAATCCTTATAAGATACAGTTCAAAATATATGCTCCCAGACTCCCAGTAAACTAACCTTTGGGAATTGGGTTGGACAGAGACCCTGGTCAACCGTTGAATAAATAAAATTTTGTCAGAATGGAACAGCCAAACTTGATCTCGAAAGAAAAGAACAGTCAAAATCGTTAAATACAGAAAAGTAGTAAAAATATTTCAACCAAATTTTTTTTTGTCAATATTTCAACCAAATTTAATTAAGCTGTTTAATATTTAAAAATTTTTGATACCTGATTTGCTATTCAAACTAATTATTTTTCATTTTTATACACTTATTTTTAAATTATGTGCAAGTTAATACGAAAATTATATTCACTTTAATCAAAAATATTAATATGTTTCAAACAAAAATGAAAAATCTCTAAAATTAAAAACAAATCTTACGTATTTCAAATTTTATTGTGAGTTTTAAAAATAAATAACTAAAATTCGGATAAAATCTAATATTTATACAAATTCAATTCTGAATTAAATAAATAAATTAGTTTTAAACTTCGGAAAATTAAACTAAATTTGATATTATAAAAAATTAAGATGGTACGAAATTTAATTATTTTTATAACTTAAGAGAAAATTTGAAAAAAGAATTAGGATTTTTAGTTTTAGAGAGCTTTTAAGTTTCATTTGAAAATAATAAATATTTTATTTAATATGAGTATATTTGAGTGTTAAAATGAGAACATATTGAAAGTAAGTATATCAAAATGAGCAAATTAATTAGTTTGAATATTAAATTAGATATAGAAAAAAATGGTTATTAAAGTCTAGGTATTAGCGAAATTTAGCTTTAGTATTTTTATGAAATTTTGTATAAAATATATCTTTAATAAGCCAGTTTTTTTTTTTTATAACACTAACTAGATTTTGACCCGCGCAACCGCGCTGGTGTTTGTTTTCTTTTATAGTTAGTTATATAAACATTTTGTTTTCACTTGTAGATTGGTATATATTATAGTAATCACATATTTATGATATGTATAGTAAATGTTTTTCAAACATAATAATATTATATAATACGTGTTTTAATCAAATAGATTGTTTCTAATTTTCTAAAACATGTGTTTGTTTCTTCTTCTACATTTTATTGTTTGTTAGATTAATTGATAAAGTAATATAAATAGAGCTTGATTAAATATTAGTATACTTTAATTTGCAAAGATAATATAAACTTCAAAGAATTTTTTGCTAAAAACTAAACTTATAGCTTCATAAATTAATATTATAAAGAATTTTATTAAAAGGAAATTTTGTAAACAATTTCAAACAACCGCGCGGGTGTTTGTTTTCGTTTATAGTTAGTTATATAAACATTTTATTTTCACTTGTAAATTGATATATATTATAGTAATCACATATTTACGATAGGTATAGTAAATATTTTTCAAACATAATAATATTATATAATAAGTGTTTTAATCAAATAGATTATTTCAAATTTTTTATATTATACATATTCTTCAAACATGTGTTTGTTTCTTCTTCTATATTTTATTGTTTATTAGATTAGTATTTCTTTTTTAGATAAATTAATATAAATAGAGCTTGATTAAATATTAGTATAATTTAATTTGTAAAGAGAATATAAACTTCGAAGAATTTTTTTCTAAAAACTAAAGTTATAGTTTCATAAATTAATATTATAAAGAATTTTATTAAAAGAATTTTTAAACAATTTCTTTTTTTTAAACAATATAATTTTAAAAATTTACATCGAAATAAATTTATCTAATATATATAGCGTGTAAATTTTTTTAGGGTATATAAATATTCCATATTACTAATCTGTGATTTTTGTTAATATATTGTGGATGCATTTAACTATTATTGACATATTTCTTTATAAATAATAGAATATTCCTAAACTTATATCTATTGACATATTTTGCGTGACTAAATTGGAAGGTGTGGGGTAATTTACCAAAACCAAATTGCTAAGCGTATCTTTGTTATTATAGATATGATTTTTCTGAGATATAATAATGATAAAATTATTAAATAGTTAATGTAACATGACTTTCTAGTAATAGTCCATTTTTTTGAAAAATCACACATAAAATCAAGTCATGACTTCTGTTTTAATATATAAGACTAGATTTTGACACGCGCTTGAAAGCGCGGAAATTTTTTATGATTAAAAATTTATATAATTGGGTTTAGTCTTAGTTTAAATAATATTTTAATATAAAATTAGTTCACCTAAATTTGTGGTGGTGATTATTTTTCATTAGTTTTTAGTTTCAGTTTTTATTTTTAGATTTTGGTTTTTGGTTTTTTAGTTTTTAAGTTTCTATTTTTCATTTTCAGTTTTTGGTTTGGGTTAATTTTTAAACATACTGGGTTAGTTTGAACTAATATTACCAACAAACAAATCTCAAATAATCGAACATCTAATTCAAAACTGAAAAGATGACAACAAATTTTAAAAAAAAAAATTGAAATAGTTTATTTTGTAAATAAACAAAGCAAAAAAATATAACATGTGTTTTTAACTTTTGGTTTTGGATTTTAGTTTTTAGCTTTGGTTTTTGGTTTTGCTTTATATTTTTTTAATCTGTAAATTATTTAAGAAAAATAAAACAATAAATTATTTAAAAGTTACCATTGAAATTTATCAAAACAAAGTGATTGTTATTTAAAATAATAAAATATATTAACATGTTTTAAAGTACATGATTTAAATAAATGATTAATAAGAGATAATTTTGTTTTGTTAAAAATATTAAATACCTTTTGGGTCTGAAAATAATAATTGATTTTTTGATCTTTTAAGGTGAAAAGTTTATTCAATGTTTTTAGAGTTTTTTTTAATACTAAGCCCAAAAACCAAACTATATAATTTATTAAAAAAATAAAAGTAAGCCCAAGACTATATTCCATAAATAACCAATGATTTAATTTAAGTATAATTAGTAGATTTTCATATTCCATATTTTGATGATATATATTCTTTTAGAACATTCCATATTTGTAGGAGAAAATATATGTTTTTGGTATACAGATAGATATCTGCCATATTTTGAAGGTAATTTACATTAAGATCGTCTCTTTACATTATTTGTGTTGGTTTAATTTAAATAATACGGTTCAATCAATTATATGACTTATATTATTTGTAACATTTTAGAATATGTCCAAATTTAAATGACAACTTGTATCAGTAGATAAAAAGAATGACTCTATTTTAATAGATTAGATTAATAAGCCAGTTCAAAATCGATCTTCCAATCAATCTAACCTTTGTGAATCGCTTTGATCAAAGACCCTGTTTAACATGTAAAATATTGTCGGAATGGAACCAAAGTTGATGTCTAAACAAAAAATAATAAAAATAAAGAACGAATGGTTTACCGTCACTTCTCTTTCCAGAGCCACAGTTTTGGCCATGAGTCGCATCGTCACAATAGCAGACAAATCCCCTCGAAATATGATTGTACCCACAAGCACCCTTGGACTCTAAGCACATTGAGCAGTCTTGGTTAATTTCAAGATTAAAACCCTGTTCAAGAGACTTCTTCGGATTATCCAAACGCAGAGTGTGTAACGTCGATGCCGAAACAGGTATACTGACTTCTGATCTACAGTTTTGCTCCAAGTTTTTAGTGCCATCCCTCCCGTATAGTAAAACAGACGAACTGTTTTTCACAACACCGTAATTTTTCAAACCTTCCACATCATCCTTACACTGAAACTCGGTAAAGTAATTGTAAACTTGGCTAGTGGAGATAAGAGCTGATAGGTCTGGACAGCCATATAAAATGGTTAGCAGCTCGGTGCCACGTGCGAACTGAAGGGCGCTCAGGTAGAATGATTCATTTCGAGGGTTTGTGGGACAAAGATTGTCGATGTAGTCTGATATGGCGAGACTTATGATATGGTAGTCATAGTTTGCCATTAAGATTCTGAACTTCACGGAGGAGACAGTCATCTCTGCGAATGCACCGCTACAGTTGAGCATGAAGCCGGGGTAGCCGCACTCTTCCCTGCCTGGTATCCAGAAAGGGTACAAGAGATCCCTCTGATCGCCACAGCTAAACGGTTGGCTGCAAAGTTTGTAATGACCATCATCTGTGAAATTCAAATTTGGGGACTTTGCAGTAACCGGGGGTAGTGGAGACTCAGTGACATCATCATCTGTGAAAACCGGGTTTGGAGCTTCTGCTGGAGGTAAGGACTTTGGATTCACAAGGCTTAAGAAGCTACCGGGTTTAAAAAAGGACATGTAAGATGGAGTTTCATTTCTCCCCAAACATTGGTTCCCTGAAAAAAGAGAAACATAAGTTAGAAATTTGTGAGACCTTTGCTAGATATATTAGGCTACTTACTTTTGTATCTTGCAGCTGTGAGAGGGTACTCTGTTATGGTTCCACTGATACCGGCATAAGTGATATATGTGTTAATCTCAACAGTTGCATCTGAAAAATAGTCATATGGTTGAGATACAAACTCATTCTGAAAGAGTTCCACGTAAACCGGAAGCTTAGACTTCCGAAGCCTCTCCACAACATTTGTTTGCCCCGTGACAAACCCTTCAAAGTCATGAAAGACGGATGATTTTGTGATGACAACAGCGTTGGCAAATTTCTTTATGTCTTCGATAGCAGAGTCACTAATATCACGAATGGTTTCTTCAATGTTGTAGACAGTTTCGTACTTGCTCTTCTTCTTGAAGTCAACAAGAACCGAGCTGTGCGTTGACTGAATCATGACCTTTGTTATGGTTGTTCCATTGCTGTAACCAGCTTCCGTGAGTGTATCGAGAACTGCTTTAACCACGTCGAGCCCTTGCTTCTCTCTCAGATACACTGCATTCTGAAGGACACAAAAAGTGGTTTGGCTATTAGAAGATGTCATAGTTAAAATCTTGAGATTTTGCTTAAAATACACTAAGTTGGATACCACTTCTTAAAATTACAATTAATCCAATTTTTTTAACATTTGGGTTTTGAATTTAGTGATTATTGTGTAGATCTAGAATTTAGGGGTCGAGCTGGGTTTATAATTAAAAAGTGATATCAAATTTAAGACAGTTAAACCTTGAGATTAAGAGGTACATAACTAACCTGTACACTGATCAAAACACTGGAGAGAGAAGTGGAGTTATTTGCCAAGTTTAGGAATTTAGAGAGTGAGATAATCCTCCCAGAATTTTTCTCATTTGGATTCCTGAACATTTTATATACCCTGAAGGGGTTTGAAATCGCAGCTGCACAAAAAGGACATATCAAGTTATGATAATGTAAAGTTCCAGGAAAATAAATATTCCGTCCGTTTCATTTTAATTGTCATTTTAAGTTTGTACACACAGATTAAGAAATTATTTAATTTTACATATTTTTTATATAAAAACACAATTACCTATATAATTAATCACATTTTAATCAATAGGAAAAAATAGAAAAATAGATAAAACTAATAAATTTTGCATTAAAATTATAAAACGACAATTATTTTATAATGAAAATGTTCCTCTATAAACGACAAATAAAGTGGAACGGAGTGAGTATTTTTTTAAAGTAAAGTAGAGGAGTAAGCCAAATGGGGAATCTTACGAGTCAAACTCTGAATCTCAGACCATGTGAGACTAAAGGTGTATATTCCAGCATCTGAGCTAATCTCAGGAATCATTGTTGAACGATTTGTAAAAGGACTTTGGGCTACCATTGTACTTTGCTTGAGATCTATCGAACTTAAGCAAAAGGGTTTTCCTTCGCTGGACATTTGGACCGAGCAATCAATAACATCAGCTCCATCTTTGATTGCCTTCTCATATGCCAAGTCTGTACATCCGGGGTAGTCCCCACTCGCACCATTTTTCGATATAACAAGAAAATCCACTGAGACATGAACCATTTGGTAGATGATAAAGTCAACTATAGTTTTGTTTTTCTACAAGTAAGAAAATAGTTATGCAATGTAATTATCAAAACTACCTTGTTCTGTAGCGTTTCTGCCGATGTGGGAGAAGCAGTCTGAGGAAAATATGAAAAATAAATAATTGCATTAAAAACGACATACTGTAAAAAAAAACTTTGGACGAGAATCTGCTTACCAATGGATGCAGATGCAGTTACGGGGAAATCAGACAGCAGACCATCGACAGAAAAATCACCATTGTTCACAAAAGATAGATACTCAGACACTGGATCGGAACTATAGTCGTGAGCAATATCAGCATCATTTACAAAACCTGACACATATACTTGTAATCCTACTTTGTGAGCATCTTGTACTAATGATGTAGGAGGGAGCAAGTAGTGCTTGTCATCGAGTGGAAATATATACGATTTGGGAACAAGAATTCCTGAAGCAAACGTCTTGACATAAGTTAAGTTACTCAAGATAGAACCGTAAGTTCTCTTTGTTGTCGGCTCCAAATCTTCTTTTCCAAGAAACTGGAATACCAAACTCGGTCCTTTAGGTGCAAAACGACCGGAAATTTTCCTAAAGAAATTCACTTCAGGGGAAGAGATGTAGTCAATGGAAACAGTTCTTGAAGCTGATATCAGAAAACTGATTATGCTCAGATTATGTTGAGCATAGAACGCATCGTGCTGAACATTTAACCAAAAACTTTCTGGTTTAATCTGCATGGATACATCTTGGACCGTTAAAATCGAGTATCCATTTCCGTCAAATTTTTCTGACCTAGATAATATTCCTCGGATCACTGGAACATGTGAAAAAAAGACATTTGTGAAAAGTAACAAGAAAAAATAAAAATTATGTTCTTAAAGAAAGAGTAGTTGAGGATTACCAAAAAAAAAAAAAAGGGTAGTTGAGTGATAAATACTTACAAGAAATATTCTTGAGATCTCTCAAGGAGAAATCAATGGTGAACCAACCCTGAGTAGTGACTCCATTAACCGGGTAAGTTTTATGGCGATTTGGGTAAAAAAATTCAATAGTTGAAGCATTGTTCAATTTTAAATCAGGGAAGCAAATCCCATGTCCATCTTTGGTTAGCTGAACATCACACCATAGAACACCACGAGCTAAACTTGTCTGCTTTGCCAAATCGTAAGCAGCACTACTCGAATCTGGAAACAATCCAGAAAACCCACCACGAGCAATCACAAGAGGAGCATCACCTGGTAAAAAAGACCAAAAAAGTTAAGAGATTATCACAACTTATACTACACGTCTATATAAAGAAAGAAAGTCCGAGTACTACGTTCTCTCGTATTCTCCTAATGTTCTCGCAGCGTTAAGGAAATTAGAAAAAAAAAAAAAAGTAAGAGCACTCTCACCACTGAGTGTCTGCCATGGACTTTTAGATCTTTGAGTATTGATTTGAGCAGCAAACAGCTGAATCAGAACAACACTACAGAGTAAAATTGTCGAAGCTCGCATTGTTGGATTGCTTTGCCGGAAGTTAACTTCACAAGCTTCTTCTTTCTTCTCGGGGACCTAGACCATATAGATAGAAAAAACAACAGTAGTAGATTTTTATGCATAAGCTTTTCTTTAATAAATGGCTTTATTAGTTGACTCTTGAAGTCGTCTCTCACTAATTTTAATAATATTCTCTGAAAATCTTCACTGGGACTTGAGAGAGACTTGTTGGCAAACCTAATCCACACTAATGTATAACATAGAATACAAAACAACTAAATATTAAAGTGGAGTTTTACCATGCCCAAAACGAGTGACTCATAAAACTCAGAGACCACTGATGCAGTTACTTGTATAGCAAGATACTATATATTTTGTACTTTTACAATAAATTTGGACAGGGAAGCAAGCATTAGAATACATGACTTGTCTAATCTAAGGCAACTATATTTTTGGTAATCAGACAATATGCCTTCCAGATTTCGAACAAGCGTCTCTTTAACTGCTAATACTTATTGTATAGAGATTTAACTTAGTCCTTGTTGCTTGTGAAAAAATCTAATCAAATTGTTGATTTTTCCAGTCTCCTTATTTCTCCGTGGTACAAAAGGTTATACGGATAAAGACAAAACAGATTTTTGGAGATATAGTATGGTATACATTTGCCAACAAGTCCATCTCATATAACCCTGAAGATTTCCCAGAAACTCTGGCTTTTATGTAATATTAACAAAGGTTTGGAAATGGTAACTAAAACGAATGGCAGAGGTTATTTCAATGGCAGAGGTTATTTCAGCTGTTTGCTGCTCAAATCAATGCTCAGAGATCTAAGAGTCAATGGCAGACACTAAGTGGTTAGACTTCTCGCACTTTCTATCTCTTTGTTAGTTTCTTTACGCATGAATCTCCGAGAAGAAACCTAGAGAAATTAGAACATATATGCAATAAAAGAGGTTGGGATAATCATGGACAGTCTCTTTCATTAAAAAAATAACTTGTAACTATTTTTATATTTCTTACTAGGTGATGCTCCTCTAGTGATTGCTCGTGGTGGGTTTTCTGGATTGTTTCCAGATTCGAGTAGTGCTGCTTACGATTTGGCAAAGCAGACAAGTGTACCCGGTGCTGTTCAGCTAACCAAAGATGGAATTGGGATTTGCTTCCCTGATTTAAAATTGAACAATGCTTCAACTATTGAAAATGTTTACCCAAATCTCCAGAAATCTTACCCTGTTAATGGAGTTACTAGTCAGGGTTGGTTCACCATTGATTTCTCCTTGAGAGATCTTAATAATGTTTCTTGTAAGTGTTTATGACTCAACTACCCTTTCTTTAAGAACATAATTTTTGTTTTTCTAGTTTTTTTTTTTTTGAACAAAAATTTTGTTTTTCTAGTTATTTCTCATACATGTCTTGATTCTTTTCACCTGTTTGCAGTGATCCGAGGAATATTTTCTAGGTCAGAAAAATTCGACGGAAATTATGCGATTTTAACGGTTCAAGATGTAACCACAAAGATAAAACCAGAAAGTTTTTGGTTAAATGTTCAGCATGATGCGTTTTATGCTCAACATAATCTGAGCATAAGCAGTTTTCTCATATCAGCTTCAAGAACTGTTTCCATTGACTACATCTCTTCCCCTGAAGTGAATTTCTTTAGGAAAATTGTTGGTCGTTTTGCACCTAAAGGACCGAGTTTGGTATTTCAGTTTCTTGAAAAAGAAGAATTGGAGCCGACAACAAAGAGAACTTACGGTTCTATCTTAAGTAACCTAACATATGTCAAGACGTTTGCTTCAGGAATTCTTGTTCCCAAGTCGTATATATTTCCACTCGATGACAAGCACTACTTGCTCCCTCCTACATCATTAGTTCAAGATGCTCATAAAGCAGGACTAAAAGTGTATGTGTCAGGTTTTGCAAATGATGTTGATATTGCATATAACTACAGTTTCGACCCAGTGTCTGAGTATCTAGCTTTTGTGGACAATGGAGATTTCTCTGTGGATGGTGTGCTCTCTGATTTTCCCATAACTGCATCTGCATCCATTGGTAAGCAGATTCTCTTTAAGAGTTTTTTACACTAAGCTCGTGTTTAATGCATTTGTTTGTTTTCATAGACTGCTTCTCCCACATTGGCAAAAGCGCTACAAAACAAGGTAGTTTTGATAATTACTTTGCATAACTATTTTCTTACTTGTAGAAAAACAAAACTATAGTTGACTTTATCATCTACCAAATGGTTCATGTCTCAGTGGATTTTCTTGTTATATCGAAAAATGGTGCGAGTGGGGACTATCCTGGATGTACAGACTTGGCATATGAGAAGGCAATCAAAGATGGTGCTGATGTTATTGATTGCTCGGTCCAAATGTCCAGCGAAGGAAAACCCTTTTGCTTAAGTTCGATAGATCTCAAGCAAAGTACAATGGTCATCCAAAGTCCTTTTAGAAATCTAACAGAAACAGAGTGATATGGAAAATATCTTCATTAACTTTACTCAAATGTACAATGTGTATTATATATACAACATAATTAATCTAACTGCTCTAACTGCTCTAACTGCCATGTACACGTATGCAATATACAATCCTATAAACCCTGATAGTCCCCCTCAAGATGGCGTTAGAAGACCATGAAAACCCATCTTGGACATGAATTTGTGAAAGAGTGCAGGATATAGAGCCTTGGTGAAAGGATCCGCAAGCTGGTTCCCAGATCGAACATGAAGTGTCTTGAGCTGACCAGCTTCAATCTTCTCACGGATATAATGACAATCACGCTCTATATGTTTGGTTCTCTCGTGGAAAACAGGGTTCTTGGCGATGTGCAAAGCAGCCGTACTGTCACAATAAAGAACAGGAACAGTTGGCGGAGCAACCTGCAATTCATTGACCATACGAGATATCCACATGATTTCCTTAGACGTATAAGCCATTGATCTGTACTCAGCTTCTGCAGAAGAGTGAGAAACAACATCTTGCTTCTTAGACTTCCAAGCAACCAATGAGTTCCCAATGAATAAGCAGAAACCGGAAATTGATCTTCGAGAATCAGGACAATTAGACCAATCGGAATCACAAAATGCCTTGATCTGAAAGTCATCATCAACAGGGTAGAATAAACTAAGACCAATGGTGCCTTTGAGATAGTGAAGAATCTTAAGTGCAGCCTTGTAATGGGGAGCACGTGGAGCAGAGGAGTACTGACAAAGCTTGTGAACAGCAAAACAGATGTCAGCACGAGTAATGGTGAGATAAAGGAGTTTCCCAACAAGGCGACGATAAGGTTCAGCATCAGGCAAGAGGTCACCATCATCACAAGAGAGTTTGATGCTAGGATCCATGGGAATAGAAGAAGGACGACAGTCAAGTAAGCCAGCATTAGTAAGCAATTCAAGTATGTACTTGTGTTGACAGAGAGAAATTCCAGACGCTGACCGAGCAATTTCAAGACCAAGAAAATACTTTGGTTGACCAAGATCCCGGAGCTTGAAGTTCAAAGAAAGTTGCTTGATCAGCAAATCAACAGAGGGTTCAGAGTTGCTGGCAATGAGAATGTCGTCTACATACACCAGAATCATGAGAAAAACACCAGAAGAACGTGACCAGAACAAAGTATGATCACCATTGATCTTGGTGAAACCCATACGAAGCAGTGTTGAAGAAAACTTCAAGAACCATTGCCTAGAGGCTTGTTTAAGGCCATAAATGGATTTCTTGAGTCTAAGCACAGCATTTTGAGGGAGATTGTCCCCCTTTCTTTCTGCATAACCTTCGGGAAAATCCATGTAGATTTCTTCAGATAGATCACCATTGAGAAAAGCACTGGATATGTCAAGTTGATGTAAGAACCATTTCTTCTTAGCTGCTAAAGCAAACAGCATTTTGACAGAAACCATTTTAGCAACAGGGGAAAAAGTGTCGACAAAATCAACTCCCTCTTGTTGCGTATAGCCCTTAGCAACCACACGACCTTTAGGACGTTCAACAGTACCGTCTGCGTTAAGCTTTAGTTTAAAAATCCAACGACATCCAATAGTTTTCTTACCAGCAGGCAGAGAACAAACTGACCAAGTGTCAAGGCTTTCTAAAGAGTCAAACTCGTCGTCCACAGCCTTACACCAGAATTTGGACGTCTTCGCCTCATTAAAAGTGGAAGGTGTAGTAAGAACAAAGGAATTAATAAAAGAAAAATGAGAAGAAGAAAGTTTATGATATGAGAGAAAAGTTGTAATGGGAAAAAGAGAGTGGACTGATAATGCACCTGAGTTGACCTTTGGATCTCTTCTTAAAGACAAAGGTATCCTTTCGTTTCATTCTTGCCCTGAAACCCCGCAACAGAATTCAGTAGTAGAAAGAAAACACCAACACATCTTAAACGTTGCTAGGGCCCTTCTTTTTCAGTCCAACATTCCTTTGGTCTATTGGGGAGAATGTATTATGTCAGCTGTTTTTCTCATTAACCGTATTCCTTCACCTGTTTTGAACCACAAATCCCCTATTAGTGATGGGCCTAACTCACACCCAAAAGCTAGCTCAAGAGTGGAGGATTACCCATACACATATATATTGCCCAAGGACCAATATATCCACCGATGTGGGATATATTAATAGCCCCTCTCGAGATGTGGGTGGGAAACGGTCCATAGGGAAACAGCCCAATCCCAACATCTCGGAAATACCACAGCATATGGGCCACTTTTACAGGCTACATAGGTAGGAAACTGTTTATGTGGGAAATCATAATGCTGGGCCAAACCATGGGCTCTGATACCATAACAGAAACAGAGTGATATGGAAAATATCTTCATTAACTTTACTCAAATGTACAATGTGTATTATATATACAACATAATTAATCTAACTGCTCTAACTGCTCTGACTGCCATGTACACGTATGCAATATACAATCCTATAAACCCTGATAAAATCGTTCAACAATTATTCCTGAGATTAGTTCAGATCCTGGAATATACACTTTTAGTCTCACATGGCCTGAGATTCAGAGCTTGACTCGTAAGCTTTCCCACTTGGCTTAGTCCTACTTAAAATATTTATTTTCTTGCAACTTTACATCATAACTTGATATGATCTTGTTAGAATTATGTTACTTGAGTCACATAACTATATTTTTTTCTTTTTTTTTGCAGCTGCGATTTCAAACCCCTTCAGGGTATACAATATGTTCAGGAATCCAAATGAGAAAAATTCTGGGAGGATTATCTCACTCTCTGAATTCCTAAACTTGGCAAATAACTCCACTTCTCTTTCCGGTGTTTTGATCAGTGTAGAGGTTAGTTCTAGTACCTCTTAGAACATCATAATCTTAAGAACCCCGTCTTAAGAAACTTTGGATAATGATCTTTTAATCTCAAGATTTTAACTGTCTCAAATTTAATACCACTTTTCAATTATAAACCCAACAACACTTTAAATTCTAAACTCTAAACAATAATCACTAATTTTTTTGAAAAAAAATGTTAAAGTACTTTAATTGAATGTGTTTTTGAAAAATTGTATCCAAATTGGTGCATTTTAAGCAATTTCTCAAGATTTTAACTATGACATCTTCTAATAGCCAAACCACTTTTTGTGTCCTTTAGAATGCAGTGTATCTGAGAGAGAAGCAAGGTCTGGACGTGGTTAAAGCGGTTCTTGATACACTCAGGGAAGCTGGTTACAGCAATGTAACAACCACAACAAAGGTCATGATTCAGTCAACGCACAGCTCGGTTCTTGTTGACTTCAAGAAAAAGAGCAAGTACGAAACTGTCTACAACATTGGAGAAACCATTCGTGATATTAGTGACTCTGCTATCGAAGACATAAAGAAATTCGCTAATGCTGTTGTCATCACAAAATCATCGGTCTTTCCTGACTCTAAAGGGTTTGTCACGGGGCAAACAAATGTTGTGGAGAGGCTTCGGAAGTCTAAGCTTCCGGTTTACGTGGAACTCTTTCAGAATGAGTTTGTATCTCAACCATATGACGATTTTTCAGATGCAACTGTTGAGATAAACACATATATCACTGGAGCTGGTATCAATGGAACCATCACCGAGTTCCCTCTCACAGCTGCAAGATACAAAAGTAAGTGGTCTAAAATTTCTAGCAAAGGTCTCACAAATTCCTAACTTATGTTTTTCTTTTTTTCAGGGAACCAATGTTTGGGCAGAAAAGAAACTCCATCTTACATGTCCTATTTTGAACCAGGTAGCCTCTTAAGCCTTGTGAATCCTACGTCCTTACCTCCAGCCCAAGCTCCAAGCCCGGTTTTCACAGATGATGATGTCACTGAGCCACCACTACCCCCGGTTACTGCAAAGTCCCCAACCTCATCAACCAATGCACAAGCATATAGGCATAGTGGACAAACTCGACTCACTCTATCTCTTCGCCTCTCTGTTTTTGCCTCCCTTCTACTTCTGTGATCAACCTTTGATCTCATCTCCGTTTTGTTCATAATTTATTTTTTCCCTCGTAACCCTGGTTAGTCTTTGAGGCAGCGCTTTTGTGTTTTTTTGTAGTGCCAACTTCTTGGTGTGTAACAATACCCTTATACTCGTGCCTTTTGTCTTGTAGTTCTTTTTACCAGATTGTATCTTCTCTAATAATCAATTCCACCATTGCAAAACCTTATTGAAGAAACCAACTTATAGTTATAGATCCCTAAACTAACACCCTAATATAAGAGTGCTAAAATTCAACTGTCGAACTATCCACGTATATTAGGATACATATTAAGATGGCATTGATGATTTGATCCAAACAAGCTTCTATATTTGTTAGGCCTATATACTATTGTGATATAATTTGCGCATGCCATATTCAACTTTTATGGAAAATTTACCGGTGGATTTACAGGGATTATCTCGGTCTCTATTCAAACCTTTCTTTTCTAAATAAACTTCCCCTTTCCTATAGAATTTCTTGACATTAAACCTCGGTAAAGTTCCTTCTATTTTGAAAATGTTTCTACTCTATTTCGATCAGATTCTTTGAGTCGATTTTTAATGATCTTGGTTTTCATAGGGATTGAATTAACTGTTGTGAAGATGTCATTTATGGAATGGAGGGAACTATATATGGGATCCCCTTATGAATTGTTTGTCTGGAGTATTTGCACTATGACCTCAGAACAATGATTGTACATTTTGTCATAACTCTTTACCAACTCATTCACGTCTGAATTCATTCGCTGTCAACTTCTTTTAAAAAAATTATCATAATTAAGTTTCTTTGCTACGATTATTTATGGTTCTTCTCCAAATAATTGCTTAATTCCTTCTCGTAGTTTAGTTTAAGAAGTGAAATTCGATAAAAGTGAACTGTATTTCAAAATACTATATATAATATTTCAAAAATGGTTATTGTTCCAGAATCTTAATTAAGACCATGCATAGGCTCTTTGTCCACAACTACAAGTTCATAATGTCTTCTACACTCTTATCCTCAGCCACAAGCCTCGCTCAGATGACCTTTTAGTCATGAATAAAAAAAAGGTTTTAGTCAGGAAAATAAACACTTTGTTATTAAGAAAGCTGGTCAAATTGCTAACCCAAGTATTTAAAATCAAAGACAACTCTGAAAGACTTAAAAAGTCAACAGTTTTGGCGTACGATTACCCCCACACGTGTCCCTCGCTTTACCCACCCGTCTACGTCTCTCTAACTCATTCTGATGATTTCATGATTTTATTCAAGCTTCAGAGAAACTTCTTCGAGACTTTTTCAATGTTTTTCAGCTTTACCATCATTTGTATCCATTACATGTTTCCTCAGGCATCTTTACCGATTCAACTTGCTCAATATCATGTTCTGTCTTCTCCATAAACCAAACCAAACTAAACCCAAGAAACCAAATAAATAAATTATGAACACTCGAGCAATCATCAGATTCTCAAAACCCACTTTTTATCAGGTCATATTCTGTCTCTTCTCTTTATTATACTACCTTCCTTGTGCCTCAAGTCAGGAAAAACTTGGGTGGTGTGGAGAGTTGTTTCAGTGTGGGAACATAACCGCTGGTTTTCCCTTCTGGGGTGGGAAACGTCCTAATAATTGCGGTCATACATTGCTGGAGCTTCACTGCAATAACAACAGTACATCTTTAATCATCTCAGACCAAGAGTACTCTGTTCTCGATGTTGATCTAACATCTTACAGTTTAACACTTGCAAGGACAGACCTGCTAGGCCCTTTTTGCTCGGCTAAGTTTAATACCACAACCTTGCCTCTTGATATCTTTGAGATCTCACCAACCTACAAGAACCTCACAGTTTCTTACCTCTGTGATCCTCTTTATCCTTACCTGTCATCAAATTTTACATGTCTTGATAAGGGTATTGGGTCACTGTCTCTAAGACCTGAGACACTGTCTTTCTGTAATGAGAGTTTCATAGTGATTGTCCCGACGAGTTTCGCTCCAAAAGAGAGAGAGTTTGATTTGAATCAGCTGGAAAGTGTTCTAAGAGAAGGGTTCGAGGTGAAAGTTGAGATCGATGAGATAACTTGCCAAGAATGTTCGTCCTCTGGTGGAATATGCAGCTTTAATGGTGCCACACAAGTTTGCTGCAAGGCAAACTCACAATCAGGAGTCAGCTGCGAACCAAAACGTCAACGTACTGGTAAGTATTTCGTATATTCCCTCATCAGAACTATTATATAAATTATGACTTTGTCAGATCACAGAATTAGAAGTTGTACACTTATTCCTCTCTGAATTGAAAATTGCAAATTCAGAGATTTTTATATTTGATATTTTTCGTTAAAAATTTCTATAAATTAACAATGTTGAGATTTTGATATTTTATTAATTTATATAGCTATTAATTTAATGAAATTTTCTTTTTCAGACTTATATATATCGTAAAGTATGTTTAGTGTAAATATATGAAGAATGCTTGATTTTACAGTATATCTATTGACTAAATTTTATGGATACAAATTTTATTTTGTTTTTATTTTATTAAATGTTGTATATAAGTAAACGTAAATGTATTTTTAAGTGTATATTTACAAATTAGCATCAATATATTTATAATCAAACAAGTTAGATGAAGAACACAAGACAGAGCACATGTTAACAATATACCAGTTAAAATTATGGTCTACAGTTAATTAAGTATAACTATGGATTGGATTAATAGAGAAATAAGTTTGCAATTTTCGTTTCAGGTAGAGATAAGTTACAACTTTTGGTTCGTAGAGATCTGACTCTTTATAATTTGGTGAGGATATGATGTTATATTATAGTTTTGATGATGGGAAAATAAATCGTCCACCAAACTTAATCATATGGATGGTCCTTTTAAAAAAAAAAAAATCTCATTTTATGTTTTCTCAGCTGATGAGCTTCATGGCCTCTGTAGTACCCCGTTTATCTGTGGAGATCACAGTGGTCTCTTGTACCCTTTCTGGATTCCTGGCAGAGAAGAATGTGGGCACCCTGACTTCAGGCTCACCTGTATCGGAGGATTTGCAGAGGTTAATATCGCCTCGGTGAAGTTCAAAATCTTAGAAGCAAACTACACCACTCATATCATAAGACTTGCCAGATCTGATTTTAACGGCCACCTTTGTCCCCAAAATCCTTCACGTGCCCCATTAAACCAAACATTCTCTTTATTTTCACCTGACACCGAGCTCCTAGAAATTTATTACTCCTGCGGAGACTTTTCATTCTCAACACCCTTTTACGATCCAACTTACTTCAGAGAGCTTGGTTGTGATGATGATGATATATACGCTAGAAAAAGTTACTATGTGACGAGAAACCTCTCGTCCCCTTTACTTGACGGAGTTAGAGACCTTTTAAGGGCTCTAAGGGTATTGTGCACAAGCGTCAGTGTTCCTGCCTCCGGACCTGCTTTGAGAACACTACATAGATTTCAGACTTCAGATAATCTTAAGAAGGCGCTTGAAGAGGGTTTCGAGGTTGGAGTTAACCGAGAATGTTACGTGTGCATGGACTCTGGGGGTGCTTGTGGATATAATCAAACCACAAGAGGGTTCATATGTTACTGTAGCAATGGACCTCATAGCCGTGCTTGCAGTTCCGGAAAGAGGAATCATGGTAAAATGTTGTGTTTTCTCTCGAGTTAGTTCCATATCGTATGCTTCATGCTGACAAATTTTACTTGTTACATGGCTGCTCAACAGAGACTATCACAAAAATTCTAATAGGTTAGTTTCATCATCATTTTCAAAATGTTTTTTTATCTTCCTAGGAAAATAATAAGTTTATAAATCTATCTTTTTTCTTTATTTGCCCAGGTTTGAGTGTACTAGTAGCGGGTGTTCTTGTGGTAATACTCATATCAATTCTCCGAAAGAGAAAAGCATCACATGACAACAGAAAACTGAATCTAAAGACTCTTATTCCACTGAAACACTATAGCTATGCACAAGTCAAACGAATCACAAACTCATTTGCGGAAGTGGTTGGAGAAGGAGGGTTTGGAACTGTCTATAGAGGAACTCTTTCTGATGGTAGTATGGTTGCGGTAAAGGTTTTAAAAGACTCTAAGTGTAATGGTGAAGACTTTGTTAACGAAGTTGTGAGCATAAGCAGAACTTCTCATGTTAACATTGTGTCCCTTCTTGGATTCTGCTCCGAAGGTTCCAAGAGAGCAATTGTTTATGAACTTTTGGAAAACGGGTCTCTTGATAGGTACATATCAAGAAACACCTCAATGAGCATGGATTGGATTGCAATGCATGGGATCGCGCTAGGCATTGCTCGTGGTCTAGAGTATTTGCACTATGGATGCAAAACAAGGATCGTGCATTTCGATATTAAACCTCAAAATGTATTGTTGGATGAGGATCTTTGTCCTAAAGTGTCTGATTTTGGACTTGCTAAACTTTGTAAGAAGAAAGAGAGCACCATGTCACTGCTAGACATGAGAGGGACAATAGGTTACATCGCACCAGAGATGATATCTAGAGTTTATGGGAGTGTTTCTCACAAGTCGGATGTATACAGCTATGGAATGTTAGTCCTCGAAATGATAGGAGCAAGGAACAAAACATCAACTGAAGATACGGCATCTAACACAAGCTCGATGTACTTTCCAGAATGGATCTACAAGGATCTTGAGAAGGGTAACGATGAAAGGGTTGTTGGTAATGGAATCAGCAACGAGGAAGAGCAGCTAGCAAAGAAGATGACATTGGTGGGTTTGTGGTGTATTCAGTCTTCTCCATCAGACCGCCCACCGATGAATAGAGTTGTGGAGATGATGGAAGGACGTCTTGATTCTCTTGAAGTCCCTCCTAAGCCTGTTTGGCAAATTCCTACGGCGCCTCTTGCTGAAACTTCTTGGATTTCAGAGGAGAGTTCAAGCATCACAAATTGAAAATCAGAACAAACAAAAGGCTTCCAATGAATTGTAAGCAAAATGAGAGAGGTTATGACTATTATTAACTTTATCACTTTTAGTCAGAAGTTCTATTTTACAAGTTCTATGGTCTCTGAAATTCATGCATCTAGTACTATGTCATTTTCACGCCATTCATAGTATTACATTATAAACATGTTCATAGGGTTAGAGTTTATAGAATGGATTACTACATATGCCAAGATCGCGTATAGGTGCACTAAGAAAAGTTGCTTCTGTCGGTCTCTCTGTGCAACAGTCAAATCCCAGAGCTCAACTCTGGATATGCGGTGGAAACTACCAAGTTTAAGTACTTCTATCGAATTTCCATTTGGGTTCATCGGACTTCACTGCAAGGCGGCAAGCCTTTTATTTTTGCTTATCCTATCTCACCTACGTTTTTACATTTCTCTATGATGAAATCGTTGGAATGGTTACTTCCAAAGATATTTACAATATTCACTATTGGTTAATTGAGTTTTTCCGTCAATAAAAAGGTTAATTGAGTTTTTTTCTTGGTTAATGAAATGTTATTTTATGGATTTCTTTTAGGGATAATTTTCAAAATACCCTATTTAGGATTTGAAATTTGATAAATGCATTTTCTATTTTCCTTTTTGAAAAATACACTTCCTTAATTATGAATTGACTTTTTTACCCAATATATTTCAATAATTAAGATTTAATTCAAAATTAATATATAAATTCGTATTAATAAAAATCTCTAAAAATAATATCATTAAAATTATTTTGTTTAAGATAAATATGCCCGTTGAGATAAATGTGTTATTTTATGATTTAAATTCTATAATAAAAAAGATAAATATGTGAATTATGATTTGTTTTGACTTTATTATGAAGTTTATACAGAACTTTTGTCAGCATAAAATTGAATCATAATTAGAAACTGATATTTGATTTATGAATCAACAAACCTCTCTTAATGAGATAAGAGGAAGAATTTGTAAAAAGAGAAAAAAAATTCAGGAATGGAGGAGAAGAAACAAGAGGAAAGAGACGAGAAGACTGAAGACGACGCATTACATTAATTTTTCTTTCTTTTTTCTTTTTTTCAAAATAATAAATAATTTAAGATATTATTAAAAAATATTATGCAGATATTAGTGATATAAAAAGAAAAAAAAAGATACTGTGCAGATATTCTTATTCCTTCTCACGATTTTTAAGTCATTTAAAAAAATAATATATTAGAAATAGAGAGATGTTAAGAATGGGAAATTATGTAAATTTATGTTTATATAAGTGTATTTTTCAAAAAATAAAAGTGAGTGTAGTTTTCAAACTTTATTTTTATTTTTTATTTTTACCAGAAATAAAGTGAAGTGATTATTTGGATTTTCTAACCTATAATAGCCTTAATGGGCTGACTTTGACCAGTTGACCAAAGAGATTACCATTACTTTTTGAATATTTTTTTCTTATCTAAAACTTCACAAATTAGTCAAACATGTGTATCTTTGAATTGCATTGGCCAATAACACAATTAAGGTCTTTCATATCAGTTCTTCTATTTTTAATGATCATATCCTTTGTTTAACCGAATTGAGTAACGCCATCGAAAAGTAAACAATCATTGCTTGACGAATTAACAACCGAAGATCTTCTGGGTCCCACTTACCAAAAAATTAAGACCGTTACAAAAGTCAAAAACAATAAAAGGGTAAAATCGTATCAAAATATTTTAAAGGGTCTCTCTTTCAATCAGACCGTTACGAACACAAAAAAAAAAAAAAAACAGTAAAGCTTTGTGAGAAGACAACAAACACAGTGCGATCAAAAACCTTTGCAATCAAGATTTTGATCACATCAGTAATAATGGAGGATACGATCTCAAACCCTAGCATGGAACCTCTCTTATTCTCCGTCGATCCAATCTCTCTTTTACTCTCTCAAAACAACAATCTCTGCGGACTCGAGAGAGGACCTAGGTACAGAGAATACGCTACACTGCGTGAATCAAAGCTACGACTTAACCGAGAGTACGAGAAGATACTCAAGGAAGAAGAAGAGAGGTTCTTCAGAGGCGGAGAGAAGAAGAAACAAACGAGATTCAGTTTCACAAGAGAAAATGAAATTAGGGTTTCGAAGAACCCTAATCCTCGGAGACTATCTTCGTTGGCTCAAGCTGTTCCTGATTTCTTGATCCGCAAGGAAAATCGCCAGCCATCGAATATGCTTCTACGGAGAGGGGATGTCACTCCTCCGCCGTCTAAGGGCATAACGGACATAAGAGGAAGCGCATCGGTGAGTGCGGGAGAGAAGAATGTGCGTAAGAGCTACGCCACTGTTGAAGATCTGAAGAAAATTTCCATGGCGGCAGCTTTAGCTATTACTTGCGGTGGAAGGAAATCACTTGGCGGCGGAGGGAGGAGGAAATCAGTCTGCGGTGGTGGTGGTGGGACTATTCTTGGTTACAGACAGAGTTAATGTCTCAATCCTACAATTTTCTTTTGTTTTTAGGTTTTGATCTTTAGATTTGTTTTTGTTACAGACAAACTTAATGTCCCAAAACTTTGTTTGTTTTTTATTTTGTTTTTAGATTATTTCTTTTTTTCGTTTTTAGTGACAAAATAAAAAGGTTTTGATTGATAGAGATCAATTTTTTTTTCTTATTAATTGTTTTTTTTTAGTCAACCGCCCATATAAACTAGATCAAATGGTGGTAAAAAAAACCAATTCTCTGAAAAACATTTCCGTCTAGGCGAATCTGATCTATATGAGAAAAATGTATAGCATCTTGTCCTCGCTTCTTATGATTTAGTTTTTGTGAGATAGATTTGTGATAATATTCTTACAAGCATTGATCATATGATTCATTTAGTTTAATAGTGAATTACACAATTAACTAAAGTAGATCCATAACTAACTCTCCGACCAAACACATAACGATCTCACACGCAATCTCTGAACCAACTCCAAACAAATGAGTTTCAAGAACCATCCATTTCTCCATCTCAATACTCACAACTTCATCCACCTCAACTCGTGCCAACGCTGCCCATTTTGGAACTTTCTCAAGAACGTCTTGAATCAACTCAGATGCTTCAGTTTCAGCACTTGAAGGATGAAGAAACCAGCAGGAAGCGTTTCTTTCTTCCAAGTGTTCGATCATGGCATCAACAAGGAACCCTCCGGTTATTCCAGGGAGGTTAAGGAGGTTATCAGAACGAGCTGCGTAGATCATGAGTTCGTCGAAGAGTTCTGGTCCGATGAGGTAGTTGTTGTTGGCTTGTGTAGTAGTAGTAGTTAGCTCGGTGTGGATTATGACTTCTCTTGCGTTGGTGAATCTTTGTTGTGTTGATATGAGACCTGTGTTGCTTAAAGATCGGAGGACGTTGGAGACGTGGCTGACTAGACTAGCGATTGTTTGATAGTTACCACCACTTGTTGAGTTCTTGAACATAGTTGCAAAGTCTTCAAGAACGTCCCAGTCGGGTTCGATTGGCTCTAGAGGCAGCTTCATCTGTCCTGGAACTACAAAATCACAAAGACAGTTACAAGTTTCAGATTCAAAGAAGTGAAATTACTGTCTGAATAGATGTACCTGAGATATTGTCGAAGCTATTTGAAAAGCAACTCTCGACATCGAGTACAGAACCAGGGCTTGTGTAATCACTGTTTGCATTTCCAATCATCTCTGTTTTGCCTTTCCTCTGCAAGAATCAAGAAAGCAAGAATGAATCAAAAATGAAAAAAAATGCTAAAAACGTATAACGTCATTGCAGAGTATTATATAACATTACCCGATAAGCTGTTTCTGCGTAAGGCTGCTCGCGTGCTAATGAAGAAAGCAACTCATGGAGAATCAAAGAAGCGGGTTTATTGGGCAATGCACTTCCTCTTATGGCTTCATCTTCTTCTTCTTGAGAGGTGAACTCTTCCAGCTTCTGCTGAATCAAACCTACAGTACCGGCATCAATTTGTATTCTTTTATGAGATGGTTCCCTCATGTTTCTTTCACTCATCTGATATGGAACACGTGGCGGTCCTTTTCTCTCTTTAGTTTCCCTGCAGCATTGGCTACAACCGCAAGAGCTTTCACAATCTAATCGTCTTGACACTGGACTCATAGAGCTACTACTTCCACAAGCTAACCTTCTCTTCCGTGCAGAAGTGCTTACACCTGATTTATAACAAGACTCCTTCCTACTAACTAAACCTCTATTCACTGAAATAAAGTCCTCTTTATAGTTGATTGCATTTGCAAGTGAAGATGAACCTCTTCTGCTCTGTAAGGTGTAAGATTCAGGGACTGGAGGAAACCTTGCCACTTCATCCTTTACATGCTTTCCATCGAACCGAGCACGGTGCAGAGCCTTCCTCTCCATTTGATCTATACAGCCTCTGCCTTTACAAGAGAGGGTCATAGATGTTTCTTGGTTTCTCCAAAACACATTCCTTTTACTCCTCTCAAAGGGCGTTGGCTCAGGTACAGGACTAGTAGTACCATGACCATCAACAAAGCTACTACCACAGGCTTTACAAGAAGCAACACTATCATTTGAAACAACTGCCTCATTCCCAACATTTCCACACCTTATAGTCCTGGTGGAGCTTGGGTAAGCAACAGCGTATTTAGCATTTCTCTTCCCCGGTTCAAGAATCCTAGCAGCAGCATTGATCAACCTAGAGTTACGACTCTGAAGCAGCCTCGGACTTTTAACAGGAACAGCCAGATTCTTCTGATGATGATGTTTCCTTACTTTGGTCAAAACGTTCTTGATCTGCATGGCGTCTGATCCAAACTTCTTCACCATAACACGCCTATCACAAACGCTTGTTGTTCTCTGCATCTTCTGTGGCCTACACTTATTATCCAAACCATTATCTTCTTCTTCCTCCTCCTCATCAGAAAAATGGCATTTATCCTTCTCCTTCTTCTTCTTCTTCCCTTTGTCTCTGTGGTTAGATGGTATAGATTCAAGACCCATCAAACGTGCTACCAAGCTTGGAGATCTCATTTCATGCTTTTTGAACTCCACCACTTCACCTCGGTTAGGGAAACTTCCTCTCTTCTCATCATCAATCTTCAAAACATAAAGAGATATAATGTCAACTCATTGCAACTCAAATCAAATTAAACATTTAAAACTTTAACTCACCAGGTTAAGCTTAGATTTGAGCAGTTTCTCATTCCCACCAAACCTCTTAGAAGCTTGTTTTCCTGACAAAAAAAGCAACAAGAAGGATCTCTTTTCATTTTCAGACACAACCGTAGATAAAGTGACACAGTTAGAGAAGAACACTAACTAACCAGGAAGAAGTGATTTGCGAGAAAAGAGCTTCTTTTTAGCGAAGCGTCGGTTCCAATCAAAGAGCTGAAAGAAAACGCCAACGCAACCACTCAAACGATTCGGCCGTTTCTCAGTTATGGCCGCACACGGCGCCGTTTTATCCACTGTCTCTTGTAACTCTCCCGTCATTACCACCAAACCCTAAACTACCGACAAAAGCTAGGAGAGTTCGAAAAAACAGAGCAAAAAAAAAATGTTCTCTTTAGAGATGCATTGACTCAGATTTCATAAACTTAACAGAAACTGAATTCAAGCTATAGATTAAGATCATTTCTTTGGAGTTTTGGTTCTGAAAAAAATAGTCTCAGCTTTTATGAAGCTCGTGAAGAAGAAGAAGAATCACTTTAAGAAAAGCAGAGAAGATGAGTGTGCATAAGAGCAATAACAATAGCTTAGTTTACGAGAATAGGGAAAGAAAAGAGACAGATGGAAATCAACAAAACGACAGTTGTACAGTGGAAGAAGAAGAAAGAAAGACACTGTGATTTTTATTACAAGAAGAAAGTGAGTTTGAAGAAGGAGATAAAGTGTACTGTCAAAAAATGGGATTCAACTGGTAATATTAGCAATTTGTGTGTTAAAAAAGGTGAAAGGAGACAAAAGCAAAGTGACGAAGTGACTGAAAGAGAGATTAATAAAAATCCTTTTGAGTGTTTTTTTTTAACTGTTTGATTCCTCTCTGCTGTCACTGACGGTGAAAGGGGCTCGAGAGATATTGTTTTACAACAGCTTTTTTTTTTTAACTTGCAGAAGAGAGAGCATGCGTACGAAAGGTTGAGTTAAGCTGATGACAGAAGTAGACTAGAGAAGTTGAAAGATTTAATTGTTCTTTTTTCTATCGTTTGGTATATAAATATATAATTAAAAGAGTGATTGAATAAGTTTTTTTTTTGTGTTAAGCGTAAATTGTGGTTGTGAGAATCGAAGAGCATAAACAGTAAGTTTAGAGGCTCGAGGGTTCTGTTTCTCGTTTCTGACGAATCCAGTTTCCTCCGTAGTCCGTTTCTCAGTTCCAACTCTAGCATCGGTTTCTGTTCCAAATTTAAAAAAAAAATTCACAGGTTCTTTTCTAACCAATTTGTTTTTTCTCATCTGGCTTTTGTTTTTTTTTTTTCCAAATCGCCACAGTCAAATACAAAGCACACCAGCGTGGTTAGTAATTTACATACCGCCAAAAAGAATGTAAGATCACTATGTTCACCACTGCTTGATTAAACCTGAGCTATTGCAACTACTACCAATCATTTCTTTATACCAATGAAAAACATCTTTCTTCGCCAATTTAACGATGTATAGGGTGAGACTCTCATCACCAAAGAACATTTTTAACCTTCGTGGAGCATCTACAACCACAAGTGACCAATACCTACCTTCTTTGGTGACACTTGAGAAAGTAGACCAGCCCTTCTATTGGTACAGTTATCCTCTTTACTTGTTACCATTCAATACCTTCCCTGACTACCATGATTTCCGAAGATAGAAACTTGAAAGATGGCCATCTCCTTGGCCAAGTTTTAACTCCAATTATACACTCATTATTCATCGGTAACTCCACTATGTGTTATTTTTAAGTGTTCACTAGATATTGATCCACACTTTCGAGGGTGGATATATTTTTTTGTTTCTAATTTTTTTGCCTAATATCATTTATATGTTTGTGTGTTTGTATAATCATATTTTGTATGATAGAATTTAATAGAATAAATAATTTTTGTAAGTATATTAAATAAATCAAATTTCTTAGGTATGTACTTGTGTCTTTTTTTGTATCAGATATGTATTTTTTTATAATCATATTTGTGTTTTTATATTTGATTATATTTGCGTATTTTTTTAAAATGATTAGTAAAGATTTTGATAATTGTATTGAATTTATTATATTGTTAAACTATACATTTGATATATATAGAGGTTTTCTACATATTCACATATTTATAAAAAAAATATTGTATAATGTTTAATTAATTAAGATCTATTGATGCAGTTATCATATTTTTGGCCCTTGATTGTTACGTGTGTAGTCGTACCGTGTAGCGGTGGTTACTCTCAAAACTAAAATTATGTAACATCCCGAGTTGTGATATATGAAAAGGTTTAAGAGGATTGATTTGGTTACATATGTCATCAAAGTGCACTTACTTTTTCGGGAGCACATCTAGAGAGAATTCCAGAGTTAAGCGTGCTTGAGCTGGAGTAGTCAAAGGATAGGTGACTTATCGGGAATTGATTTGCGATACCGTGTAAGTGAGGCCAAAGCACGGGGAAAGGTCGGGTAGTGATTGCAGGGTCAGTAAACATGACTCTAGAATCTTGGAAAATTAACGGACCGACCGTTGGAACGGGATGGGGCCCACGGACCGAGAGAGCGAGCGTGGGTGGCTCATTAGCCGTGGGCGATCAGACGTTACAAAGTTCAAACTATTAAGGAATAGTGATTACTTTCGTAAAAAAAGATTATGTGGTAGTTACTTTGAAAAATTAGAAAAGGATTACAGTTATCATATAAAAAAAATATGTACTGTTAAAATAATTGTTACACCATATTTTTATCAAGGGATCACACCGTATTTTTATCAATAGATCACACTTGCTGTTTTAATAGAATAGATTCTTCTAATCATCCACAAAAACATTTCAATTTTTACTTCATGTAAAGAGGTTAGGGCTGAGAAAGCACATCTATTGTGCAATACATGGGTGATTGGTCTTTCAGTACCCAAGCACCTCCTCCAACCTTAGAACTTGTTTCCCTCATATTATATTTGAGCCAAACATATGGAGGATGTTTCCACCTTCTGAGGACATTGTTTTCTTCAGCATTCATTTCAGGTTCCTCTTAACTTGTTGAGCTCCAACGCCATAGACCACATTTCAGCTTCCTCTCTGGCTATTGAAACAACATAATTGTCTTTGTATCCACGTCCTTCAAAACAAATGTCATTTCTGTTTTCCACAAAAACCATGTGATCCACGGAGACACTTTCATGATTTCAGCTCGAGAAGTTTTCAATATAGCCATGCTATTGATATAGTGATAGTTCTAATGAAAAGAACACATAATCACCAATTGAATATATAATCCTCACATACATTTGATTCTTTCATCTGCATGTAAAAGGTTTTCAATTTTAACTCTACATCAACAAGATGAGTTTTAAATATATTAGAAAAAAATGTCCCATGTCATAGCATAATGTTCACTGATGATTTAATTCAAAAAAAAAAATGTTCACTGATGATAATTACGTACGTTAATTGTCAAAAGATCTGGAAAACTATTAGAAAAGGAAAACTAACAAAAAAAATTCAAAGGCTTAAAACAATTTTAGAAGGTTAATTTCAAAAAGTTGTTGATCAGTAACAAATAACTTTTGGAAATTATAAAAAAAAAACTTCAGAAACATATATTTTTCGGAAACTGACGCAAAAAGTTACAAAACTTTTCCATAAATAAATTTAAATAAACAAAAGTGTAGTCAGACGGGAAAAGCATAGTTGCGTCTTTGTCTGGGTCTGACGACTCTGAGATGTGTCACGGACAAATAAAATAACCCATACACGCTAGGAATCTCTACCACATACCTACGCTTCTATTCAAATACCTACAAACTGTTTTTTACTAGGGAGAATACATACAGTGGGAATCTTTAAAAATGATTATGGTGGGAAGGGGAGGATTTTCACAAATTAAAGAAAATGGATATCTAACTCTACATTTAAGATTATATAAGAGTGTTGTTAAAAAAAAAAAAAAAATTTATAAGAACAAGAAGAACTGTTAAAAAAAAAGAAGGAAATTAGGTTCAATAACATTAAAAAAAAACATAATTCACTGTATAACTAAAATTCTCCCATTTTTCTTCATTTCTATTACTATTTCTATCTATCTTTCCATTTTTCTCTGAAAATCTAATTTTTTTAATAATTATTTTACAAATAAACCAAAAAAGTGAGAGGGGAAAACTTAACCAATTTCTCTAAAATTCATTATAAATAGTAAAATCATTTTTAAAAATAAAATGCTAAGAGACGGAGGCCCCACCCTTGTTGGCTATACAAACTATTAGGGACAAAAGTTTCACATCGGTAGTTGAAGTGGATATTTCATAATATATATAAAAAAATAGATAGATCAATCCACTTATTACTAATTGGTTTTAGATTGAAAGCTCATCTAACTAAACATAATATCAGAGTTCACAATCCATGCATCTAACCCAATCCACATCTATACAGCTTAAAGTTAGCCCTCAATCATTGCAAGAACATTTCAAGATTGACATTCAAAAAACCATCAACTCGAGAGGATGTATTAGGGACAAATATTCAATATCAGTAGTTAAAATAGATTTTTAGTAATATATGAAAAAAATAGATTAGTTAATCCACTTATCATCGATTGATTTTAGGTTGAAAGTCTATCTAGATTAACATATACACCACTGAAAACATATACAGTCAATATAAACAATATCTCTTTAGCTAATAAATTGAAAATTGTTAGAAACATAACTGTTGACACACCAAAGTCAAGAAATTTTCTGAAGGAAACCAAAAGAAGTGGTATCGAATTTTGTCATAATGGAAAAAACAGCGAAGCAAATCTACTATTTGTGAAAGGTAACATTTTTTTTTTTTTTCCGTCAAGATTTGTTATAATAAAACGGGCCAAGCCCAACCGATCGAAGTCCAGATACATCGAAACACAAAAACGACCCATAAACAGACGGCCGAAATACAAATGGCCCAAGCCCAAATACACTAAATAGTCCCAAAGGCCCAAACAAAGACCCGAACAACTCGGCCCATGAAACGGCAAGGAGGCTGGAGGCCTACCACGTGTGATGATCTGCTTCGGGATGACACGCGTTGCTCCGCCTCGACTTGCCCTCCATCGCCGCCAGAGAAGACCTCGAAACCCTCGATTCACCGGAGCTCAGAACCCGCAGAGCCCCCACCGAACCCAACAAACCTTCACCCTTTCTCACTTAAAGTCGGAGAGCTTCATCGTTCTATAACGATCTCATCCGACACCTTGAAACTTCTAAACACTTGATAACAGCGGGCCTTTCTCGATCCAAACATACAAACGAAACCCTAAATAAGAGGGTGTACCAATATACCTTAAGCCGGCGACGTAAGACTGTGGTAGTCTTCACCCCCCGGAGACTAGATCCGACTACGGCGAAACTGAAGGAGCTTCCACCTCGCGGAGACAAGGACCGGCGTCGGTGGAGCTGACGGAGCCTCCACCTCCCGGAGAGAACTTTAACAAGACGATGTACTTTAACAAGACGATGTACTTCACCGCACCATAACCACCGCA